CTTCTTAATGTGAGTGATGAAGTGGTGAAGTTTCATGGTGATATCTAGGCTGAAGTAAGAGATTAAAACCAGTTTCTGTGTCATAATATCCTGAATTGAAATGACTGTCTTTAAAATACTCACCTTTACCTTTTTTCGCTCGAGACATGCGATGTTGACAGAGTACTGACCAACCAAATCTAACACCAACAAGCATAAATGGCGTCATGCAGTACCAGAAAGCACTAGAAACCACTACAAACCACCAGAAAGCACTAGAAACCACTACAAACCACCAGAAAGCACTAGCACCTACTGAAGTCTAATGTACCTCCTGTTGTCCTGTCTGTGTTTCAGTCGTTCCTCCGATTCCGACCTGTCAAGCTGGTCACAGTCGGCCCATGTTCTTGTCCCAGACTCCTTCTCACGGTGATGTTCTTTTTGCTGCTGTCGGTCAGGATTTCCAGCTTTCTGCCCGAGCACAAGCTCACCACACCAGGTATTTACCTCGTAATACATCTGTAGACCACGTACACAGGAGGACACTCACAGACTCTCTGATGTAGTTCTGAGTTGTTTATTTTACGTGGCTGTTTTTCAACTTTATTTCTAGTCGTGTTCAGTCTCTTTGTCGTTTTTTGTGTCTCCTTGTGGTTCATTTGTGTGTCTGTGGTTGTTTTGACCCTTTATTTAGTCTTTTTGTGAGTCTTTGTTGTTGTTTTGTCTCCTTGTCGTCATTTAGTGTCTCTGTGGTTGTTTTGTCCCTAATTGTAGCCGGTTTGTGTCTCTTTGTAGTCGTGTAGCATCTCTTTGTAGTTGTTTGTTGTCTGTGCTTGTTTTCCCCCTTTTTGTGGTCGTTTTGTGTGTCTTTGTAGTCATTTTGTTTCTTTGTGTTCATTTTGAGTTTGTGTGAGTGACATTTGTAAGTAAAGTCCAGGGGGCCCGCTGACACTTTGGGCCCCTGGACCTGTTCCCGGTTGGCCCGTTAAATAATCCGTGCGTGGCCTATGTCCAGTAGCCGGGCTAAATAAAGATAATATGTGCATAATGTGCATAATATGCACATGTAACCAATAGGGGTGGGAATCACCAGAGGTCCCGCGATACGATATTATCACGATACTTAGGTCACGATCCGATATTATCACGATACTGCGATATTATCACGATACTGCGATATTCTGAGTATTGCGATACCATAGGCCTATATTGCGATTTATTACTTTTTTCAACTTCAAATCATGTCCCCAAAGGAAAACTGTGTCAACATGTTTTATCTAATAAGATAAAGTTTTCAGTCTGTTCATCTCACTTCAATCATTTTTATTGCAGCAGAATAGGATTGTCAAGCAGACAGATGTCATGAATGTTGCATGAACCTGACAAACTGAACCGTTTGTATTACTACATAGTCCAACTTAACTAAATGCGAATGTGTGGACTCAGTATATGAACTATAACTTATATAAGTAGGAAATAAGAGTTATATAACTCAGTATAACTTGCGATGCGTGGACGTCGAGGGCAGAGAGACAGTTATGTGCTGCACTCTCCCCATGAGCCTGGCTACTGTTGGCAGATTTAACCCGTTGTGAGGCCAGATGTCTCTCTTTGTTTTGACCAACTTCCTACCAATCATGCTGACCCGGGACCTTTGCTGACCTCACCAGAAAACAACTCAGCACCATCTAGTGGACTGAAAAAGTAATTGATTTGATTTTTCTAAAAAAAAAAAATCTTTTTTTTTTTTTAATAGTTTATATAATAAAAGATCGATACTTGGCGTCCGTGTATTGATACAATATCGCCACGCAAAATATCGCGATACTATGCTGTATCGATTTTTTCCCCCACCCCTAGTAACCAAGGACACCTCATTTCTGGTTGCCCAGGAGAAGATAATGCCAAATTATTTTACACTTGTCTCCATTTTGTCCGGTAGCATTCACGACTTCCAGGTGAGCGGCCCCATGAACTCGACCAAAGTGTTCAAAGACGATCCGAACGGAAAAGCTGAAGTGACTGTGAGGTGGCAACCTCAGCCCACCGACCTGTACCGGTCTGTCCCGCTCTGCTTCACTGCAGAGACGAAAGAAACGTGAGTCCTGTTCACGGGGAAAGTACAGTCAAGTACTTCCTTCTTGTTGCTTTGTGTCCCGTCAGCAGAGCGGACATCTTTTGTTTCTTTCTATAAAGTGGAGGAGTAACCGAGGAGGACTAACAAAGACATCAGCCTCTATTGGTTTAGGAGATTATTTATTTCTGGTTGATGTAACATTCGCTTTAAATCTTCTCTGATGATCTCAAGATGTTTTATCCTTTAAATCTAAATCACTAGTATTACTGCGTGAGATAATATCAGTACCTCTATCATAAATATGACTATGACTGATAATGTTTTTCTTGCATTTTGCACTGAAGCATATTTTTCTCTGTTTCAACATTCAGACAATCAGATATGAGGTGTGTCGTCATCATGGTGACCAAGCGGACCGTCCTTCAAGGTGTGTTGATCGTCAGTTGTCTCTGTTTAAAAACCGTAAAAACAAAAGATCGTGATCACAGTAGAGAGAAACATGCGGCGTTGGCCAACAGCGACAGAGCTGAGCTGTAGAATAAGAGAAGAAGAGAATAACAACACGTTGAGACGGCGAGCAGCGTGAGGCGAGAAACCCTGTTTGTGATTCAATCTCCCAGTCTGGGACTGGACTAGAAGAAAAGATATCCTCCAGCGCTGCCATGATCGCTGGAGAGATCCTTGTGAGTTGGACTGTTTTTGCGAATAGGCTGATTTGCAGAGTGAGGGGCCAGTTGTGTCCGGTAGAGACCGCGTATACAGCTGGCTTTAGTATTTATACTTTTCTATTTCTATGACTCGTGTACAGTCGTCCTTGTCTTGTCTGAATGTTGCATCATTTATTCTCTTTGTTTTAGTTTAGCTCCTCTATGTACTGCACTGTATACAGATGACAAGTCTTCTTAATGCAGGTATGAATGCACACAATGCAATCAGTGTGCTATCCTCCCACGGATCTGATTTAGCTAACTTAGCAATGAACACAACCAAAGTTGTTTTACTTACTTCTCCAAGTTTAACATGTGAGCAGTGTTTTAACGTTTGGGCCACATTGGAGACTGCATGAGTTGCGCTCTAAAGCCACGTCGTCCTCGTTGATGTGGAAGTTGAACACGAAATGTGATTTACAGGCAAGGCCAGTGTCATATGCTCTCCCAACAAGATGATGGTGGCCCTGGAGAAAGCCTCCATGCCTGGCATCGATGAGAACTACCTGCAGCTGAGAGACCCGTCGTGCTCTCTCACCTCCAACGACACTCACATCGTGGGCTCTATGTCGTTCAGCACCTGCGGCACAAAACTTGAGGTGTGCAAAAAATTCCATTTTTTTAAATCAAAATCAGGAATTCTTTCTCGCTGATCAAATTGCAAAAGAGAGCAGAACTCAGAACTCAGAACTTTCTGTTCATCTTGCCCTCATACCGCTTTCTTTTTGGTCTTAAATACAGGATCAAGGCGACTTTCTCGTTTTCAAGAACGAGATAAACTCCTACATGAAGCACACCGAGGTTATAACCCGAAGGAACAAAGTTAAGATTGACTTCTCTTGCCAGTTTCCGAAAACCATCAGCATCTCCAGCTACTACAACCTCCACAAGTCTGACTACATTTTCACAGAGTCCAGCTTCGGCAGCTTCGGCTACACTTTCGAGATATTCACAGACAGCAACTTTACAAGCCAGGTGGCTGCCAGCGCCTATCCAGTGGAGGTGAAGCTGTTGGAGATGATTTACATGGGCATTCAGGCGGAATCAGATCTACCAAATGTGAATTTGTTTGTCGAATCATGCAAAGCCACTCCCGATGACAACCCGGAAAACACCTTGTCCTATGACCTCATCAAGAACGGGTGAGTGCTGACGCTCTCTGGGATCACAAACAAAAATGCTTTTGGCTTTTCATTTCTCACTTCATTTTTCATTTATCTGACAGGTGTCAAATGGACGAGACACTTAAAATCCACCCATCTAATCAAACTTCATTCAACTTTGAGGTTCAAGCCTTCAAATTTACAGGAAACTTTGATCAGGTAAAAACAATGAATATTAAATGATACCAAACTTATGCCAAAAATATTATTTATACAGGCTGTGGTGTGGATGAGACAGTGTACAATCATAGACTGCATTTAAGAGGTCGACATTGTCACCGGACGTCACCCATAGGTTTGTGGGCTGCCGTTTGGAAGCCTCGAGTTCTGTATTTTGGCCATCGCCATCTTGTTCTTTGCAACCAGAAGTGACATGAGAGGTTGGAGCCCTTTTTTCAAGACATTTTTTAGCGACCAACATGTTACAATGAACTTTCATGAAGTCAAAACGCACTGTGAAAGGGTTTAAATTCAAAGACAAAAACACGTACAACTTCCAGACTGGACGCCACCGTTTCAATCACCGTGTAGCCTCGCCCTAAAGCATCCCCTGCTTTATGGTC